TTTTGGTGGAGCACTGCCGCCCCCGTGTGGATATCTTGCGACACTACAACAGCGGGGTACCCAAGACAGAAGCGTTTCAGGTCCCAAGTTCTGTGGCTTCCTTGGACCCTGAAAGACAGATAGATGTCCACCAGGGCTACGACACTTAAGTATCAGTCTGGAGTGGGAACGGGAGAGCATGGGGCTTCTTGCAGAAGGTACCTTTGGGAAACCGGCCTTAGGGGTGTGTGTGGGCAGATGCAGCCTTCGCATCCTGTCCAGTGCAAGGTGGGCGGGAATAGGCTTTCTCCCTTGAGCTAAGTATACAGAACGGTCTAATTTCAGGGCAGTAGAGGTTGGGGGGTGATTTCTGGGGAATGGAGCAGCAGTGCCTCCCCAGCCGGCTGTCGGGCATGGGTGTTAGCACCAGGGCCTGCAAGCCCCTCCCAGTGTGCTTGGTGGCCTTCTTTTCTGCACCTGTGGTTGGGCTGCGGTCTAACGGCCCAGCCTCCCTCTTCTGGGCACGTGGCCTGGAGAGATGCTATCTCCAACTCTGTATTTTTAACTCCTCTTTCCAGAGGATGTGGCTTCTGCGGAGAGCTTCAAAGGGCGCCCTGTTTGCCCCTGTCAGCAACCATGACGTCACGGAAATGGGAGGGGGCTGTTTAGCCCCAAACACCTGGAGGGAAGTGGGAAGCTCTTTCCATTTCCTGTTCTACTTTTGGCTATTGATTCGGTATCTGACCAGCTTGCCATTTCAGGGTGCAGCTGTTTGTGATTCTTGGAGGAGATCCTGTGCCTTACGTGTCTGTGTGAAGAGGCCCAAAGCTGGCAGTGCGGCTCATGTGGCCGTCCACAACGCAGGGGCTGGTAGTCCTTCAGGCTGCCCCAGCGTATGCACTAGCAAGAGTCACCTTATTCGACAGTCTCTCTCACATTCCCTCTGGAAGGATCCCTTGGGGGACCCAGCCTTAGCTGTGTGTGGGCAGGGGCAGCCTTCACATCCCGGCCAGGGCCGGGTGGGCTGGACATAGCCTTCCCCCCTTGTACTGAGTAAGCCAAAAGCCATTCTTCCCACGTGTTACTTGAGGGAAGTAGGCTTGAGGGGACTAGTATGGGTCACAGGAGAAGCTGAAGTGGACACCAAGTGACCTTTTGGTCCTGGAACGTCAGTAGTCACGTGCAACCAGAGCTGAGACGTTTAGAAACCCCTGTTTCCCAGGGTTCAGTGGGGGCTTTGAGTGCTTGCACGGAATGCCCTCCCCAAGAGGCCACCACTCGAGTTTTCATTATTCTGATAGATTTGCCAGCTTACTCTACGCCTTGCAAATGGCGGCGGTGGCTCACCCAGCCCCGTCCTCTATTAGTTCCCCCCCCTTCTTCCCTCTGGAGCTCAGCTTCCCCCCAGGACTAGTGTGGGGGTCCTCATAGGTTCATTTGTTGGTGTCTGTCGGGCGCCAGGTACTGCGCTATGAGGACATACCAATGAGCAAGGCGCTCCTCCCACCCCAGCAGCGGACACAGTCCGGCACACTTCCCTGCCCGGATGTCACCTGATAGGGAAGTGGTGTCAGGGTTTCACGTGAGACTTGGGAGTTGAACTCTATGGTGTACCCCAAAGCAAAATGAGAAGGAAAGCTTTAAGCCTCAGAGGGCTGCCTGGGTGGTCAGAGTGGAGCTCCTACCTGGATGCTCCCTAACACAGGCCTGTGCAGCCTGTCTGCTTCCTGTCTGGCTCAACCATGACCCCAGCTGCACTGGGAGGGGGTGGGCAAACCTCTGAGGAAGTCTCAGAGCACCCTCCATGTTCTGGCCTTGGGACACGGAGGCCCAGTTTTCTACTGCCAGAGTTGGTCTACATAAAGCTCTTGAGGGAGCAGGGCCTTTGTCTAGACCCTGGAGGCATCCATCTTACAACCAGCCCTGGCAAATTGTTTGCTGCGGATGGGTGCCTTCCCTCCGTGGGTTGGTCCAGGCTGGTTAGGATGCAGCAGCAGCTTTGTGACCACTGTCTCTTTGTCGTGTCTTCAGGTTTCCTCAGTAACCCCTTCCTTCTGGACTAAGCAGTGGTCGGCCTAGAACCCGCCATGAAGGAGCCTCTTGCCTGTTCCCAGCACTTGTTCAGCCCCTGTGGAGACAGCCCCCGCAGTGAGGGGATGCTCGTGTTCTGATAAGATGGCCATTTTTTCAGAGAGTGAAGTTGACACCGATCTCTTGATGGCCTCCTGCCTGCCAGGGCCTTGTCACAGCCTAGCTTGGGTTGGGCCTGGAAGGAAGAAACCTTACTTCAGGGGTGTGGTAGATCTTCAGCCCTTGCTACAGCCCCTCACCATGGTTCTCAGGTAACCCTAGGGTTCTAGTGACCTCTGGATGTTGCTGTCTGATGGCACTGGGCTAGTGTGGTTCAGTAGAGGCCTGGGCCTCTTTCAAGTCTAGAGGAGGGGTCTGTCTTTGGCTGCTCTGTTGCCTTCCAGGCATTTTGCCCACCCCATGCTCACCAGGGCCCCTGCAGCTTCTGTATAGCTATAGCCAGTTTCCAGGAGTACTCCTGCTCCCCAGCCCCCACACTTTCTTTGCCTGGATCTTTCTTTTTTCTTTTTATAAGAACAAAGTGAATTACTACTTCCTGGAGGAGGGAGAAAAACTAATTTGCCCTAAGTTTTTAATGGTTGATAAAGGCTTGCTCTACTAACCTTCCCAGGGGCATTTTCATTTAATACTGGGAAGAGAATGGCTTAATTAAAAGAAATTCCCAGTGGTAGTCCCCTGGCATCGTGTCAGACAGATGAGGAGGGGTTTGGGGAAGAGGCCTCAGAGCCCCTCCTCCATGTGTGAGGGTGGCCCTGTCCTGGTGGTGTCTCTTGAGGCCTTTCCCTTTAGTAATCTTGAAAGGCTTCTGTGTAGGCTAGCGATGAGGCAGCTTAGAATGAGATTCTGTGGTTTCTCTGGGACATGGGTTTTGCTGTAGGTGGCCTCCAGTCCCACCTGACCCCTCATAGGTGGTGACCCTGAAGCTCATAGAAGGGAGGGGCAAGCCCTCCATCCCCTCTTCAAGCTGGCAGCCCCATCCCCATGAGAAGAAGCAGGCCTGGGTTATAGTTGGGAGGATCTGCCTATTTCTGGCATGGGCGAACCATGGAAGGACTGGGTGGTGGCGGGGCAGTCCTGGGAATCAGGAAGTACTCCTTTTTGGTCTTGGACAGGCAGTTGTTCGTTGGTCTCTGGAGTGTATTCCGTCAGAATCCCGCCCTTCGGGAGGACTGGGCAGAGAGCTGGGTGCTCTGAGGCCCAGGGACTCTCACTTATGCTAGAGGTGAGCGTTTGGGACATCTACTCTGCTTGGCCAAGTCCCAGCCATAGATTTATAGGGTGAAACACTTCTCAGTGACAAGACACTCTGAGCATGAAAGAAAAAAAATGTCCCTGGAGAGTGGGTGACAGTGTTGGGGACACTTGTCATTCTTGTCTGGTAAATTTCAGCTATAGGTCAGGACACCCCTCCCCCATGCTGTCGGCCTGTTATGAGTGGCCCCAAGGCATGGTATGAGCTGGGACCCACACTTGTTCAAACACCTTCCTGGCCCTTGGCACAGCTTGCTTAGTGGAATGTTTAGGAGTTCATCCCGAGAAGAGGTTGGGCAGCGTGACACACACACTTCGGTTTCTCTCTGCCTAGCTGGTGCTAAGCAGCGTGAAAATGTCCCCACCAAACCCAGTGAGATAGGATCACAGTTTCTGCTCTTCTGAGTCATCTTTAATGAAGCCATGCACAGCAGAGCGATGTACAGTACAGCTCAGACACACAGGAGCAGGGAGGGTCTAGACAAGGAGTTAAGTTTTCTACACCTTGAGGACAGAGTACTGCGCATTTCTTTCTGGATGCTTTAAAAGAACAAAAACCAAAAACACGCTCTTTACAACATTCACCAGGAGCTGCAGTCGCGGGGGTGGGGGTGCGGCGAGCAGGGGTGTGTGTGAAGGGTCTTCACATCCAGGAGAAGCAGCAGCCCCTGCCTGTCTTGAGTGGCCGGCAGCAGTGAGGAAGTAGGGTAGCAGCGGCTCTTCAGCGGTCTCCATCACAGATTCAGGAGACCCAGGTGATGGGGTTGTGAGCTGCTCAGACCCGAGAGCCTTCTTTAGGAGGTGGGCGGGCTCCTTTTCGCTTGAAGAGAGCGAGGAGGGGTGAAGAGGAAGGAGCTTGGGAGTTCAGCCTCCTTCAGTCTGGAAACCTGGAGTGAGGAAGAGCAGAGGTCAGGCTTGGTCTTGAAGACTAGGACTCAGGGATGCCATGGGGACGGCTGTGTTTGGGGCTGTGCAAAGTGACTGGGGACCTTGTCAGGGTAGAAGCCTGAGGACTCTAGCCAGGCTTAGGGATAATGAATATGGTGTCTTCCAGCACCAAGCTGAGGGAGGCACGAGGTACACAAGCGTCAGAGTGGGAATCTCTTCTCTACTCATCGGCCGCGTGGCCCTTGGTGTGACCTGGCCTCACTTTCTCCATTTCTAAATAAGGATGATCAGAGCTGTTCCTCATCTGTCTCAGGAGGGGCGGGGCCCCGCTGAGGATTCGGAAGGGAGGATGTTCTGGTAAACTCCCTTCAGGCCATCACAACAGCGGCCGGTGACAGGAAGTGACAGAAAAGTTCTGCCCATAGTCCATTCTTAGGATTCAAAAGCAAATTCCCATGGAGGGGACTTGCTCTCAGGGCTGGGTCTTACCCTGAGCCCCCCACCCCCACCCCTTCTCCAGCTTTGATGCTGTCTCACCTCAACTGGACCACAGCCGCAGCGTCATGAGCAGGTTAAATCCGGCCACTTTCAGGAGCAGGATTCGGAGTCCCATCACTGACAGGTTTTGAAAGTTGAGGTTCATATCTGGGAAACCAAGAAGTCATAGCCGTTAAGGGTATGTGCACAAGAGGTCTGTACAGCAAGGCGCTACGGACTTTCCCAAGAGCTGGTCAGGCTGGTGTGGGTGACTGCAGCTCCCGGGTCCATTTCTTTGAGCCTCTGCACACACCCCAGGGCAAAGGGATTTGTGTATTCCTCCAGGGCGAGAGCATCGTGTTTTAAGGCAACAACCACCAAAGGACTTAACCACATAATACTCTGAGGCCCTGTAGGCTCTGGGATGGGGCTGGGGTAGGTGCTCAGGGCGGCTGTCACACCCCGTGGGCCTGGGCCCCTCAGTGACACCACAGGAGCAACAACTCAGGAATGAGGTGGCTCTGAGACAAGACAAACCTGAGGCTGTGTGGGTTCTACCACCTTTCTAGCAAAGCTTCCCAAGATGTCGAGGGACAGTGCTCTCAGAGTGACATGGTTAGTCGGGCTGCTCTGGAGGGGCTCACAACTTCCCAGCCGCACAGTAAGCAGCTTCTTTGGCTGTCCTTACAGAGGAGCTAATAAAGGAGGCGCGGAGGCCTGGAGTGGCTCCCGGGCCTAGTGAAGCTGAAGACGCATCTTGCTAAGAACTTAGAATGGAAAATCAAGTTGACCATGATGGAGGGACTCAAGACAGATCATGGGCAGCTGGAAGTGGGTTTGGAAGTGCTGTTCCCATCCCCAGATTCATCCCTTCTCCTCCCCTATGCACTAAAGGTTATTATGGGCTCGTGGCTTCCTCCAGCATCGTGCAAAACTGGGCGGGTCCTTCTCTTACCTGTTTCAAAGCTTTTCTCTATCAACCTGGCATCACAGGGAACATCTAAAAGAAAAAAAAACAATTGTCTTAGAGTCTAAAGCATGCAGACTTTTATGTGATTCTTTGGAAGAGAGTGGGGAGGGAGCATACTACCCAGGGGCACCAATTGGCACAAAGGTCCTAATGGGGGCAACACCCCGACATCTGGACACTCTTTCATTCTTTCAACATATCTGGGCTGTGAAAGTATATGCTATGTTACATGGACCACAGAGTCAAAATAGTCTGGACGTGGCAGGTTTCAGTCCAGAGACCAGTAAAGGCAGCGAGACATATTCACAGTGACTAGGGCCATATATTTCCATGTATTCCAAAAATGTTCTGGAACCCAAATTTTTTCCTTTGTCATCCCTTAGTTAGTATCTAGTCCCACTGACTCAGAGGCTCTGCTCCTTCCTTGAAGCCCCATTGCTTTCCCATCTTTGTGTGGTTCTATTCTTGAAGCCCAGGTAGTGTTATCCACTGGAGTCCCCCCCATCACCTGGCAGAGCCTCCATCATCTCTCTCTTGCATTCCCGTTCTTCTGCTGGACCTACTACAGTCTGCCTTCTGCACAGCAACAGCCTTACAGTTTATGGCACTTAGTTACTTTTGGAGACAGGGTCCCGGTAGTCCAGCTGGCCTTAAACTGAACTTGCTGTGTAGGTGAAGATGACTTTGAACTTGTGATCCTCTTGCCTCCACCTGAGGTCTGGCCCTGATTTACATCATCCTACTCATGCCCTGAAGCTTTCCCTTGCTCTCAGCCTTCCCCTCACAGTTTTCACAGGGTCCTCCCTGGCCGAGGCACAGCTGGTCCCCTCTTATCCTTTACATTGCAGAGTGAACGCATTTCCTTAGAGCCTTCTCTGAGGTGGCTGTTTTCTTAACTCTGTGTTAATGAGTATATTAATTACAGCCCGACATAGCAGACATGTTCCTCTGCCAAGAGCTGATCTTCTTTAATCAGAATGGTGCTCCCTCCACATCTGACCTCTTACGTCACTCCAGCATCTGGGACTCTGCACCCACACACTCTAGGCAGACATGGAAATCAGGGAATCAGAATGGTGCTCCCTAGGGTGCTCCCTCCACATCTGACATCTTACATCACTCCAGCATCTGGGACTCTACACCCACACTCTAGGCAGACATGGAAGTCAGGGCAGACAGCTGTGCGGCAGGAAGGGCATGGAAACTGTGCCTGGGAGAACAGAGAGGGCGAGTGTGGCTCCAACAATGACAGGAAGGTGGGTGAGAATTCAAAACAGGGAGACTAACTGAGGCCAATACTGGGCCAACACCCTGTGTCCTGTTCTCTCGTCTGCTTTAGGGCCAGACATTTGTGGCCTGCTAGGACAGGACATGAGTAAAACAGGATGTGGATCTTGCTGACAACCGATGAGTATCTGACCAAAGCAGCTTTTAGACCACAGATTTGAGCTGGACCTCTCCTGAAGCGAGGAGACGGCTTTAGGTGGCACTCACCTGAGCTGGGGTAAAAGGCGTTCTGCCCGAAGGTGTCTTTACAGTTCAAACTACTGTGGTTACTCCAGGCAATGGCCCCATTGCTCTTGGAATCCATAGACCGCATGTCCAGCACGGTGTTCTTGGAGACAAACACATCAGGTGGCACGTCCTCTGACTTGTTGACGTGGGAACCGAAGTCGGTGAACAGGCAGATGGTGCTGTTCTTGGCCTGAGCATCTCTTAGCTGGTACACAGCTGGTTTGGGGTCCTGGATGTCTGTGGGCCAAGAGGACTGATGTGAGAAGGTGATCCTCTTTCCCTTCTACCTTTTGTGTTCTAACAGAGGCCAGAACTCAGGTGCCAGTGACAGGCACAAACAGAGCGCTCTGGGTTAGCTGGTGTTGTTCTCAGGCTTTAGATCAGAAGTGACACCTTAGAAACCAGCTGTTCATGGTGGGCTGGGGACAGGCACAAATCCTGAGTCCTGGCCAAGTCAAGCTCTTAGTAGTTGCTCTCCACGAGGTCCTGTCTGGCATTCTGGGAAAATTGAAAGGGAGGGCCACTAAGCCCTCTGGCCATTCTTTGACTTAATAGCATCTTCCAAACTCAGTAACTAGCCAACAATTTTGCTCTGGCAGGATGAAAACAAGCTTAGAAAAAGTGGACCAAGCTGGTCCTCTAGAGCGCTCTCCCTCAAGTAGGCTGGACACTGGTGGGAAATGCAGGCCTGTGATATCTAGACATGAAGTTGGAAAATCTATCATGTCATCAGGCGATTTCTCTCTCATTGGTAAATGTAATGAGTAACAAAGCTAACATGCAGTCCAAGTCCTGACTCTCTAATTTACCACTGACAGCCTTGATTAGATCAACAGGCAACTGAAGTCTCAGAACTTTCACCTATAAAATAGACATGTTGCTTCATTGCCTTTCCAACCAGGCTCTTTTGAGAAATGAGTATTTCTCCAAGCCAAATGAAACTCATCAAGCACACAGCACTTAGCAAATGTGCCAGAGATTCACCATGAACACACACAATCAAACAACCCATCACACTGTCTATTCCAGGAAGTAGAGTTTCACCATGAACACTCACAATTGAACAAACCCATCACACTGTCTAGTCCAGGAAACGGGGACCCTTCCTCAGTGCTGAGACAATTCCTTATACTTTTTCTGAGAGATTTTGTTTTTAATGTGACTCTCGCTGACCAGTCTCCCCCCCCCCCCCCTGCCCTGCCCCCCCCACCCATTGATTTGTCCATGCCTTCGCCCCCCCCCCCCCCCCCCCCGCCCCCGGTCCACCTTCAGAGGAGGAAGCAGAGGCTGGCCGGAAGGAAGGATTTAACACAGCAGACCACCTAGAGAGTTTCCAGCAGGGCTGGGACCTGTCCTGTATGTCCTGATCCTGTCCTGTGGGTCCTGATCCTGTCCTGTGGATCCTGATCCTGTCCTGGGTCCTGATTCTGTCCTGTGTGTCCTGTCCTGTGTGCCCTGATCCTGTCCTGGGTTCTGATCCTGTCTTGTGTCCTGATCCTGTCCTGTGTGCCCTGATCCTGTCCTGTGTGTCTTGTTCCTGTCCTGTGTGTCCTGATCCTGTCCTGTGTCCTGATCCTGTCCTGTGTCCTGATCCTGTCCTGTGTGCCCTGATCCTGTCCTGTGTCCTGATCCTGTCCTGTGTCCTGATCCTGTCCTGTGTCCTGATCCTGTCCTGTGTGTCCTGATCCTGTCCTGTGTCCTGATCCTGTCCTGTGTCCTGATCCTGTCCTGTGTCCTGATCCTGTCCTGTGTCCTGATCCTGTCCTGATCCCACTCCCACAGTTCTTCACTGTGCACGGACTGTTTTCAGACCCGTGTGTTGCTCTCTGCTCACTGAGACAACCAGGGTGGCCTTGGCAATGCAGGCTTCCAGCTGGATCCTGAACCAGAGCCATCAGGGCCGGGCACAGCTGCCTGAAGCACAGTGCCGCCTGAGAATCAGCAGAGCTGGGTGGGCGCCGTGATCTGACCCGGAGCTTTGGCCCCTTTCAGACAAGAAGATACAGCTGTAGCACAGAAGCTTCCTAGATTTTAGTCCCTTTCATTTTCGGCCCCAGAGACATCTACTGCCACCTCACCTTTCCCCCTGAAAATCAGAAACAAATCACCTTTAATCGGAGGTCTTTGGGTTCTGTCCCTGTGGTGAGACCTCCTGTTCCTACCTCATAAGAAAAACACATTTTTACCACCGAAAGGCATCAGAGGTCACTGTAGCGAGACTGGATCAATTTTTCAACTACAAGTTCAGCTGTTCTGGATCCTAACCTGTCATCACAATTCAAAACGAGTACAGAAGGCCAAGTCTGAACGCATTAGCACTTTGGGTCCCCAGGGACACTGCGTGATGGAAAACACCCTTGCCTCTAAGTCTGTGCCCCGTAGTTAATGACTGGGAACTCAGAAGTGAGAGTTAGTGACACAGATGTGGGTCATTCAGGCTTGGATAGCATCAGGAAACTGCCCTGCAGGCTTTTCAGGAAGCTTGACCACCCCTCCTAATGACTCCTTACAGAGAAACGTGTGGTTGTCTTCCTCAGAGGCTTCTATATGTGAACTGGGAACACTTTAGGCTACCACAAGAGCCTGAGGAAATAAGAAATAAAGTTTTGCACACCCCAAGTTTGCTAGAGATTACACTAGCAGGCCATCAGGTCTTCTTGCTCTGGTCATTGGCATGGTCATACTCACATGGGCGCACAGCCAGGCTGGTCCCTGACCCAAAGGTCAGCGTAGTGAAGCCACCATATAACACACAGTAGAAGGGTGCTTTACAAGAACTCTGACCTGGGCTGGACCAGCCTGGATGGGGCACTCGTCTCCTGCCTCAGTTTACCAGTCCCCCTCAAGACAGAAGAGAAGTCTCACCACTGATAACTTTCCTCAGGAATAGTCTCACAGACCTTTCCATAAGCCACCCTGGAGCCAGTGGGGCCTTCCTGAAAGGTAGGTACCCGTTCTGGCCTCTACACCACAACTGAAGATAAGACAGGCAACTTGGAAGAATGTGAGAAGCCATGGGTTAATTACAAAATGATTTTTAAAGTACACGTTGTTTCTTTTTGTTTTCTGATAGGGTCTGGCTCTGTAGCCCAAGGCTGGCCTTGGATTCATGATCCTCTTGCCTCAATTTCTTGGGTGCTGAGACTGAGGCTATGTGCCACCATGGCTGGTATGAAATGACTCTTGAGGGAAGACTGCACTGGCAACACGTGGAAAACATCGGCAAGGCTCAGCGACAGGACTGGGTGTAAGAAGGCCCTCCCTTAAGGAGATGTGTCTGGTATTCCCGAGGGTGCACAGACTACAGTCGTCACAGCCACAGGAGCACTGCCTAGCTAGCAAGCCAGGAGGAAGCTCTGCCTCTTCCTGGGGAGTTCCATGATAAGGACTGACGCAGTATGGGGTACAGACCCTAAAGTCAGAGCAGTGTGGAGGAGCACGGCTCTCAGTGAGGATGCCACAGGGCCCCAGTCCTCCTAAATTTGGTGAAAAAGGAATCTGAAGCCCAGGAAACATAGAAAAGTGTGGTGCATTCCAGTCTGAAGCCCAGCAATGCACATTAGCATTTTAAAGTTTATGAAATCTTACAATAGGGAAAGCCATTGCTTCTCAAGCTAAAGGTTAATGTTACTATTCATTAGTATCTCGTGTGTGTGCATGCATGTGTGTGTTTATTTCAGTGTGCCTTCTCCAGCTGTAGGACACTAAAATTCCATTTCAAATGCTCATCTAATTTTCACCGTTAGGTTCTCTCTGCTCTGAATCTGCCTGTTCTCCTATTCACTCCTGCGGCCACAATTAGGGGCCTCGCTGGTGCTGATGGTTTCTTTCTAATCATTATGAAACAGCTTCATTTCCTTCCCACAACTGCACCTAGGCAGCTGAGCTGCATCCGCTCCTGCCCCTCCAGCAGCCCCAGCTTCAGGGATCTGCACACACAGACAGGATGGTGTCTTCCCAACAGGGTTACCTGCCAGGAGCAATGTCAATGTGAAAGTCTTTTCCGAACACACATTCTTGAGCTTCCTTCCATGATTTCGTGCACATCTGGGACCTGCGCATTGCAGGGATGATTCTAATCCCAATGGGACATTTCCTCAGTGTACCTCTTTTCCTGGTGGTCCCTCAGATGGACACACAGACATCACATCCTTATCCCATCTCTTCCTTCCCCGCTAACACCTATTTGTGCTGCACCCTCATTACAAGACAATTTTATCCTTTTGCGTCTAAACTGGTTCTCCAGAAATAGGGTGGGCTTTCTAATCTAGGTTAACTGATTAACCTTGGCAAGACGAGGTCCTTGATGAAGCACAAAAGCAAACAAACACAAGAAAAGGAGCCTTCCCTGGAGAGACGGGAAGCTCCCCCACCAGCAAAGACATGCTGGCCTCTTCGGCAATCTACATTTCTCCTGCTTGCTGCACTGTACTCTATGCGGATAGACTCTATAACCTCCCTGTTTTAAAGGCCGGGCAATTTTCTCTGTTGGAGAATACCTACTAATCCAAAACAACATGTTTTAAACAGCGATTTCCTCTCCATCAAAGCCTTATCAAACTCTTCTAGCAGGCACTTTTGAAAATGATTAGTGTGTGTGAGAGAGTGTGTGTGAGTGAGTGTGTGTGTGTGTGTGAGTGTTGTGAGAGTGAGTGTGTGTATGTGTGTGTGTGCCATTGGCACACATGTGAAAGTCAAAGGACAACTCCTTCCAGAGGTTACCTCTCAGTTTCTACCATGTGGATTCCAGGGATTGAACTCAGATCCCAGAATGAGGGAGCAGGCACCCCAGGCCAATGAACCATGCTGTTGGTCCAGGAGCCATTCCCCACTCCCTATAGTCATTGCCTGATGGTGCCTACATCCTGCACTGTGCTGAGGAACAGCAATGAAAGAGCGAAACTCTTTCCTCGTAGAGATCATGGCAGGAGGATGAATACAAACATGAGGCAATCTGGGTAAGAGGTTGGCTACATCCTCCTTTGTAGTCATGGCAACTGGTTTGTGCCTCCCTAGAACCCGGGTAACCCTGGGCCAAAACTGTCTGTTTAAACTTGGGATCCTGAGGTGGAGACCCTGCATTTTCTCATCTTCCCTCCCTCCCTTCCTCTCATCCAGCACAGCGGTTGTGATGCTGGAGCTGCTCAGTGAATAGCTATTGCATGGGTAGACTCTAAATATCCTCTCTTCAATGCAGCCCTAATGTTTATATTTGTTTGTTATGTCTATTTAACTTC